TTACCTTCCCGCTTTCCACCAGGGAAATTTTTCTAAGGTAGTCTATTTTAAAGTTTTTATGTGTTTATATGCCTATCGCACTTTTAAACTTAAAATCTATTGTATATTGTTTTAAATGTTTCTTTTGCTATTGGGATTGTAGATCCATTTGTGTTTCTCAAGCTGGTCTCTGACCGTAATAAATTTCATTTCATTCATACCAGGGAAATCTGATCTTGACCACTGAATCAGAGCAAACGTCAATTAGGTTTTCTCCAGACTGACATTTATTGCTAAAGAGCAGGTTTTCCCAGGGAAAGCAAGGGCAAAAACCACTCAGACCCCTGCCTAGAAACCGGACAAGTGGAAAACTTGACTGGTGCTTTCTAGCATACCATCCAACATTTCTCCGATGAAATTAAGGGCATCCCAACAATTATCTGATGAAAATAAAAGGTTATCTGATGAAAATAGGGGTGTCCTATTCCATAAAGGTAAAGGTACCCCTGCCCGTACGGGCCAGTCTTGCCAGACTCTAGGGTTGTGCGCCCATCTCACTCAAGAGGCCGGGGGCCAGCGCTGTCCGGAGACACTTCCGGGTCACGTGGCCAGCGTGACATCGCTGCTCTGGCGAGCCAGAGCCGCACACGGAAACGCCGTTTACCTTCCCGCCAGTAAGCGGTCCCTATTTATCTACTTGCACCTGGGGGTGCTTTCGAACTGCTAGGTTGGCAGGCGCTGGGACCGAGCAACGGGAGCGCACCCCGCCGCGGGGATTCGAACCGCCGATCTTTCGATCGGCAAGCCCTAGGCGCTGAGGCTTTTACCCACAGCGCCACCCGCGTCCCGTCCTATTCCATACCCTCCAACAATTTGCTGGTGATAATAGGGACCTCCTAACATGTCCTCCAACATTTCCCTGATGAAAACAGGGACATCCTAAGGAAGAGTGGGATGTTCCGAGATCAAATCTGAAACCGGGATGGCTTCTGTAAATCTGGGGCTGTCCCGGGAAAATAGGGACACTTGGACAAGCAGGAGCGTGGACAAGCCCTGAGCCAGGCTTCAAACCCAAGTCCAGTTCTACGTTTCAACCGCTACACCGGAAAGCCCTGCCATGTGTCTTTGCAATGCCTCTGAGTCTTTGAGGAATGCCTTTGCACTTTTATTTATTTATTCCACAACATTTATATGCTTTTAATTGTAAAAGGAAACCTCAGTTCAGCAGGGATTTGAACTCAGGTCTCCGAGTTTTCCCTGGAATCCAGCCCTCAAACTACACCGTTGTGGCCAGGCAGGGGATTTTTAAGGTAGAAATCTGCTCCCTTTCATCAAAGAGCAGAACAGAGAGAGAGAGAAAACCCAGGAATCCTGACTCCCCCGAACCCAGCCAAAATAATTTCAGTGCCAGATTCGAATGGAAGCAGCAGCAACGAAAGTCAAAACAACCATGCTTGCTGTTCATTTATTTTAAAAAGCGTTTTGCCGGGGAGAGGCAGGAGGAGAGGCAACATGAGCTTGAGCTTTTGTAAGTGGCCTCAGACAATGTCGCCCGGGGCTAAGTCCACCTGCCTTCCTAGCCAGGATGAGTCACTTTCACTGTCCCAGCTTTCGCTTCCGATGCTCAGACACGCTGGGGAATCTCCGGAAGAGGGGCGAAGGCGGATTTCACCTCCTGACGTCAAGGTCCAGTCCAGATGAAGGGATAGGTCCAGACTTGCAGTGGAAGAAGTTGGCATGCCCAGGCATCCGACTTCATTACCTTAGCGACAGAGCGAGAGAGCGAGAGAGAGAGATCAGTCACTGGGAAGGAGAGTGTGTTTCACTGTCTAGGGGCACCTAATAATTAACTCTTGGAAAGGTTGCTAGTGAGTGAACCAAGACGAATTTTAGGTCCACCCCACAACACACACCCGAGGCCCCACGCATCAGAAACCGGAGCCCGAAACTACTTTGCAGGAACAAAACGATCAAGCGTATTCTGCTCACCCAGTAATGCTTGCAAGAACAAGAAAAAGGAAAAAGAAAGGAAGTCTTCTTGTTTAGTGCCTCTTCAACAATATTATGGATGCAGCTGGATTTCTAAGGTTGTTATGTTTTGATTTGCAGCTGGAGGGGGACTGACCACGGTTGCCTTGTCATCAACAAGAGCAGTACCAGATTTACATGTAAGCTGAACAAGCTATAGCTTAGGGCCCCACTCTCTTGGGGGCCCCCAAAAAATTTAAAGGAGAAAACCCTGGATGTACATTTCCAAAATATAAGATAAAAAAACAAATAAAATTAAACCTATATACAGTAACAGTGTTTTGTGTTGTGTAGGCTCCTATGGTGTATGTAATGGGCCCCGCCTGCTAGCCTGCTCCCTAAAATTGTATTTCAGTTCAACAATTACTTTGATAAAATACATATTTTGTTATGTGCAAATGGCTTTAGATACCTATTAGGTCCATAAATTACCATATAGCATATATTCAACACAAAAAACAGTGACAATTTGTTGTTGACAAAGGACAGCTGGACATATAAAGGACCCCATTACCTTCAGTAGCTTAGGGCCTCATCAAACCTAAATCCGGCCCTGAACAAGAGTGTTGCTTTGACTTTCTTATACTTTATATCAAAAAAAATCTACGCCTCAGGACCAGAATATTTGCTTGAACTTTGAAAGCAGGTGGGGATGGGAGCTCAAGAAAGTGGCTGGGGGCTGATGGGAGTTGTTGTTCAAAACAGCTGGACTGGAGGGCACCATGCTGGCAAAGTCTGAGCTCCATTATCCTGGCTCTAAGCATGTTTTAGGGAAGGGGCAGCGGGAAAGCAGATGAAGACTGAGTAGACCGTGCAGATCTAGGCTGGGTGGGCGTTCCAAGTAGAAGATACTGGAGCCTCTCCTCCACCCTCCATTGTCCCCCCAAGCAAAGTATCTTTTCTGGACTTCCCTTGTGGCTGCTCCTGCTGGCGGGAGTGGCCAAAGGTGGTCGCAGAAGATGAGACTTCTGGGCCTCTGACAAAAGGAGGAACAGGCAGAGATCCAACTGGTAAGGCCTCCCTCTATTGTGTGCGCGATGGGGAGCCACACCTGTTGATGCTCTGCCTGTCGAGCAGCCAGGGTGGCTTGCCAGGGTGGGTGAGAAGAAGGGCAGTCCAGCTGCCAAGTCTTTATTCATGCCACCTCTAAATCCTCTTTTTCTGACCTACGTTATGCGGCAAGCTGCACCTGCTGGACCCCCCTCTCCTGCACACCTGCTAAAATGTAAGAAGAGCCCCCGGGGCCCATTGTCTCGTTCTCCCAGTGGCCAGTCAGGCGCCTGTGGGGAGCCCACAAACAGGGCCTGAACGCGCAGCCGCTCTTCCCACGCAACTGGCATGAATGGGTGGCATGCCTGACTAAGCAGGCGTGAGATCTCCCCTACTTGGCACCTCAGTTTCCCTTCCCTCCGAACGCTTGGCCCACCAGACTCCGAACGCACCCCACCCGTCTCTGAGCTGGAAGGGGACCCAGTAGGCCTGGCTCCTTGCCCGGCGCTTTGCCCGCTGCTCCTCTTTCTTTCTCGAGCGTCTCCGGTTTCTTCGCAAACAGTAACCCGATGCCAGGACGTGCCAGGAGGCCTGTAGCAGGCAGGTGGCACGGCCCGAGGCCTTCACTTTGTTTGTCCAACTCGATCAGAGCTCCCCGTTCCCCGCTTCTGGAGCCCCACAGATTCTCCCCCAATGAAAGCTTTACTCCTGAGTAGGAAAAAGCTTCACAACCTCTTTCCTCACCCCACCCTGCATTCGCCTAGTTCGGTAATGTACATAATGTACACAATCACACACATAAGCAACCCGACTCTTCCTGGTATTTGGAGGGGGGGAATGTCTGGCTCTTGGCACCATCCGTGCCCATAAAACTCTGTGTCAGAATGTGGAGCATAATGCCAGTGTATTCGGGGCTGGGCGGGAAGAACGGATTTAGGGTAGCATGAATAGAAGGTCCTTCCTCTCTCTCTTCTACCGCCCCCAGGACAGAGTTCCTGTGCCTTTACCAGTCGCTTGGTGGGCAGGAATCAAACAAGGCGAGTGTTTTGCCCCCTGCCTGGAAAAACAGCCTTGGGGGTGGGGTGGAGGAAGCTTTGCCTGTTGGGTTTCTGCCTGCTAAACATGCTGCCAGGAAAGACCTCGCAACTCTGAGCAACCAGAGAAAGTTGGTCAGGCTTGATTTGTTTGGAATCACAAGGTCATGGCAAGGATCCGCTTTAGGGACAGGAATGTGTGCGGCTGAGAGAGGAATGTGCTGCGTCAAGAAAGGAAGAATCTGAGCCTGGCCCCAGACAGTGGGACGAGCAGGGCTTGGCTCTCTGCCCCTTCCACACCCTTCCGATTTGGCCGCCTCAGCCCCGGGGGATCCTCCCTTCATCTCTGACTGCGGATGGGAGACTGATGAGCAACATGTCCCACAGCTGCCCGGCAAGGCCCTGCTCTTTCCCTTATCCCTAAACTGCCCCCCAAAATTGGGCAGGCCTGTTGGCGGTCGTGGGCTAGGAAGACGAGCGGGTTGAACGATGCAACCCTCCCAGACAGGCCCAGTTCTTGGTTGGACTAGATGACCCCCTACCAAAGAGAGGGGACTGTCAGAGGCAGCTGCTGTTGCCCCTCCTCAGCAGTGGGGTGGTGGTCTGGGGTCGCCCATCTCACGCCACCTGGGCCTTGGCAGCTGCCCAAATGCCCAGCCCCATCTGCCAGAGCAGAGCCTCACTGCTTGAACCAGCAACCTACAGCCCTGTGCAATTCAGAAAGGAAAATGCCCTCCTGGTTTTTCTTTTCATTTCTCCCTCCTTCTCTTCCCAACTGGGCAGGAAATTGGAGAGATTTCACAATCTGCCCCTCCCCTCCCTCCCTCCCTCCTCCCCCCCAGCCTAGTGTCTTAGGAGCAGGAAGCAGAAATGATGCTTCCCCCCCCCTTCCTCTTTCTGTAGGAGGTGTTTGCCCACAGAGGGGAGGGGAGGAAGGCTGGGGAATTTCAGAAGATGGGGACAACACCTTGGCTGCATATAAAGAGCTGTCTCAGTGGGGCTCATCAACCAGCAGCAGCAGCAGGAGCAGCCTCAGGGCAGAGGGAACCCACAACTAGTGGGCATCAGAGAAAGGCAGAGAGAGGTCAGGACCAGACATTCAAGCATCCTCCACTTGGGGGCGGCAGAGGCGATTTCAGAGAGCAGCGGGATACCCACATCCTCCACTTGGGGGCGACAGCAGCCATTTCCTGGAAGGAGCGATACCTTTGCCAACCATTAGGGGGTGACATAGAGAACTTGGCATTTCCGCTGGGATTCAAAACTGTGAGGAAACCATGACTCTTTCTCTGGGTAAGTGAAACCTTCCTTTTCTCCAAGGTGGTCTAATACATGCATGTGTGTGCTTGGATTTTTAAGGTTTTGGTTTTTTTAGAGGTGGGGAAAAAATATTGAGGATTCCACTTGTTACGTTATGGCTCTAGTAATCGCATCACTTTTGTTGTTGTTAATGTTGTGGATGCAAGCTAGCACTGTTTTCTCTTTATTTATTTCATTTTATCCTTATGGGTTGTTCTCCCCTGCACACCCTGAAAACACCCCTGTGAAGTAGGTTAGTCTGAGAAACGGTGACTAAGTCACCAGGTGAGCTTCATGTCTGAAATGGATTTGGTCGTCCAAAGCGTGTTATGTCTGCATTGAGACATTTGTGTGTGTGTCTTTATTCGATTCATTCATGCCAAATCATGCTAAGACATGAAGTGTTTTTTTTAAATTTTATTTATGATTTTCAGGTTTATACATTTCAATAATCTTACAGCCATTTTAACATTTTTTGCATATCCAAATTGACTTAATTAGTTCGTTTATTCATCTACTTTAAATATATACTCTTATGAAACTGCAGGTTATTACAATAATCCTGCCAATGTTCCTATCTGTTTCCAATTTGTCTGTATATATTCAGCAAACCATTTCCATTATTTTATTTTTAAAAAGTTTGTTATCTTGATTTTTAATTTTTCCAGTAAGTTTTGGCATTCCAGCGTATCCAATAAATTTTTGTATCCATTCTTCTTTTGTTGGGACTTCTTCTTCTTTCCATCTTCCGGCATGGACATGAAGTTGATTCTATAATTGACCCTTCCCTTCTCCATGGCAACCCAAATTAAATATTAAACGAAACATAATTGCTACCCTTTGCTTCCATTCTTACTTATCACAGGACATTTACATCCCACCCTTTCCTTCCCTTCAAGGAGCTTAAGGTAGCATATAAATAGTTTGCACCCCTGTCTCTTTTACATTGTATCATCACAACAATCTTGTGAGGTACGTCAGGCTGAGAGAGTGATTTGAACCCTGGCCTCCCAGGTCGTAGTCCAACACTCTAACCCTGCAGCGCTCTCTGTCTGCCAGGGCTGGCCCACCCAAGAGACAAGCTGAGGAAGCCGCCTCAAGTGGCAGGATCAACAGAGGCGGCATCCTCCAAGGAGAGTGTGGGTACCCAAGGCTGCTTGCGGTGTGCTCCTTGGAGGCTGCATCTACTGCCTCCCGCCACTGGCTCAATGTGCAGGCGCACCAGCACTATGGCGGCCAACCCAGAGCATCACCAATGGCAGAACACCTGCGCCATGACGAGGAGAGTGATGGGGAAACTGGGAGTGTAAACAAGGCGCTTCCTACAACTCTCCTCGCTGCGGTGCAGGCATCTTGCCATTGGCGACACTCCAGGCCAGTCGCCATAGTGCCAGTGTGCCTGTGAAATTGTGGTCAAGGAGGAGGAGGCAGCAGGTTTCTGTAGCGGCGGCAAACTAGGAGGCCCAGCACTTTTATTTTGGCCTCAGGTGACAAAATGTCCGGGGCCGGCCCTGCTGTCTGGTCCTCGGAACACAGGCCACACCCCTCTCCCTAGACACCCCTCATTGGCCCTGCCAGCTTCATGTGGCGCATGCTTTTGCCTGGCTGGGATGTGTCCCTGAACCCTGCCAACGCCTCTTCCTTGTCTGACTGGAGTCTAGAGAGGGGCGTGTGTCGAAACGAGCCTACTTAACATGTGTTGCTCTGCCTACATTGACCTCTGGCCCCAGGTGGCTCTTGGGAGGTGGTCCAGAAGGAAATGTGGCCCTTGAACCCACCCCTACTCTAACTAACCCTTACAACCACCGCTGGCTCTACCCTTTAAAGGTAAAAGTAAAGTGACCCCTGACCATTAGGTCCAGTTGTGGCCGACTCTGGGGTTGCGGCGCTCATCTCGCTCTATAGGCTGAGGGAGCCGGTGTACAGCTTCCAGGTCATGTGGACAGCATGACTAAACCGCTTCTGGAGAACCAGAGCAGCTCATGGAAACACCGTTTACCTTCCCACCGGAGCGGTACCTATTTATCTACTTGCACTTTGATGTGCTTTCGAACTGCTAGGTTGGCAGGGGCAGGGACCGAGCAATGGGAACTCACCCCGTCACGGGGATTCGAAACACTGACATTCTGATCAGCAAGTCCTAGGCTCTGTGGTTTAACTCACAGTGCCACCCGCGTCCCGGCTCTATCCTTTACGAGTGCCCTAAAACCCTTGCGCTGTTTCCTAATGTCAGAACTGTGTTCCTTCTTTGGGTGATTGCGCAGTGTAAACAGAGGCTGCCTCATGTGTCCTTAAAAGCCTCAAACTGGCCCTGCCTAGACTCCCGAGGTTAGGAAAACGTCGACCTGATGGAGATCTTCAGGCAGATGGGAATGGCCGTCTCAAGGATGCTGCCACATTTAGGGAGGGAGGTTGAACTTTGATCAAGCTTATCTCAAGACTGAGGCAATGGGAGAGACAGGAAGCGAAAGGGAAGTGGCAGCAAAGGTGGTGAGGAGCCACATTCAGAGAGGTGGGCCCAATTAAAAAACCCCAACCGTGTGCCAATCCTGCACTGAATATTCATTTGGTTCCTTTTCAGCCAGAAGTCTCCTCGTCATTTGTGCAGGCCTGGTCCACATCGTCTCCCCTGACCGGGATTCACCTCTCAACACCCTCATTGGCCAGACCTTCAACCTGGCCCGCCTCATGAAAGCCAACAGCACCGTCCTCCTCAACACCTATGTAAGAGCTTTGCCTTTTTTCTGGAAGAGCGGCTTCTGCGTATGCTTCGCAAAGGTTGTTTCCCTTTCCAGCTATTTCCCAATAATCCCTCTAGTTCAGGGGTCTGCAACCTTTAAGACAAAAAGAGCCACTTGGACCCGTTTCCGAAGAAAAAACAACAACTGGGAGCCGCGAAACCATTGCGACATTTAAAACAAATATATCTCCGGAGCCGCGATCTGACAGCGGGCGGGAAGGTGACGTCAGGACGGTGCGTGACTAACGCACACACCGCCCCCATGCGACATCACAGCCAGTACAGCACCCGCCACAGTGAGGAGTGTCGGGGCACACAATGTGCCTCCTCCCCTCACTAGTATCCGCCCCGGAGCCGCGGCAAAGATGTAAAAGAGCCACATGCGGCTCCGGAGCCGCGGGTTGCAGACCTCTGCTCTAGTTCCTCAGAAGCCTGTTACCTTGTGGGCATTCCTCAGAAGACAGCTTTCTCATGATTCCCCACTTTCCTCTGAAATCCGGTGTGTTGGGTGAGAATTTCCTGAGGGTTTTTTGTTTGTTTGTTTAATGTTACACCTTCAATGCAAGTGCTTTGCATGAGCAGAACATGCCACCCAGAATGTAACCCAGAATCCTCTGGATTACCCATAGCAAGGGGGTCCTTAATGGACAAGCAGCAAGCAGCAAGTTGAAAGTCTAAACATATATATATATATTTGTAAGTATGTTTTTAAACTACCTGCTCTGTTCCAGACCTATATTCTGCAAAAGAAAGAAGAAATAAAGTGAGGGCATGATTATGCAAAGTAGGCAAATGAAGCAAATACATATGCATTTCCTTATTTCTGCCAGTCCTGGCATGACAGAGAGGAAACTATGCAGGGCAGTGGCGCTGCTGACATCTGAGAATCCTGCTCAGAGCCACCATCCCTCGCAATGCTTTTAAGATTTTGCCTGCATCTTTTCCAACCTTGTAGGGGCGCGGGTGGCGCTGTGGGTAAAAGCCTCAGCGCCTAGGGCTTGCTGATCGAAAGGTCGGCGGTTCGAATCCCCGCGGCGGGGTGCGCTCCCGTTGCTCGGTCCCAGCGCCAGCCAACCTAGCAGTTCGAAAGCACCCCCGGGTGCAAGTAGATAAATAGGGACCGCTTACTAGCGGGAAGGTAAACGGCGTTTCCGTGTGCTGCGCTGGCTTGCCAGATGCAGCGATGTCACGCTGGCCACGTGACCCGGAAGTGTCTCCGGACAGCGCTGGCCCCCGGCCTCTTGAGTGAGATGGGCGCACAACCCTAGAGTCTGTCAAGACTGGCCCGTACGGGCAGGGGTACCTTTACCTTTACCTTTCCAACCTTTCCTTGCGACGTTAAGGACTAGAAGCGTGCTTTCTCATAAAAATGAAAGGTTGAGATTCTGTGCCCAGGACCAGTTCCTGAATTTGGTTGCAGAACTACACAACATATCGGATATATAATCAGCGTTCTTTGGTATGGAGGACACAAGGCTCCTTTTTAAAGTCAGGGGATATGTTTGTAGCGTCAGTGAAGTTATAGGAGGCTCTTTGGGTAAAAAATTCCGATGTATCCTTGGGACGTTTTCATAGGTGAGGCTCAAATCTCCATTATTGTCACCGAAGCTAAAGACTTAAGAAATGACCAAGCCAAGGTTTATCTAGTCCAGCTTTCTCCTTCCAACAGCACCCGGCCATATACCTAGGGAAAATTCACAAGCAGCTCCTAAAGGTCACAGCCCCATCTGACTTCATTGCTTGTATATGCAGTATCTGTGTATTAAGGTGGCCGGTTACACATAACCAACACAGAGAGTATGCATAACCAAAGAAAAACCAGAGGGTACAGATTTGCACAAAAATTGATATGTCAATTTATAAGTGTGCATGCACCTTCAGAAAGAATTGCTATAATTTAAATCAAAGTATATGACGTCTCACTGTCACATTACAAGCTGGACTGAAGCAAAGCTTAGCTGGTTAGAGCGTGGGGCTGATAATGCCAAGGTTCCAGGTTCGATCCCTGTATGGGACAGCTGCATATTCCTGCATTGCAAGGGGTTGGACTAGATGATCCTCAGGGTCCCTTCCAACTCTACAATTCTATAATTCTGTGAAAGGGTTTTAAACCTCACATGTGTAATCACTGAGGGATAGGGCTTGTGGACCAAACTTGGCCCATGAAACCGTTTTCCCCAAGCCACACCCACTTGCTCCGCACCCGGTGTCAGGAGCTGTACAGGTAGAAAAATGGCTGCCGGTGCACAACCAAGAGCCTTGAAGTGCTAGTGACTTTGGGGCTTCAAAGCGCCCAATCACCTGCTATCATTGAGATATCAGGTGCCTTCCACTTGCTGAATTTGGCCCGTGAGGCTGCGATCTCCTAAGGATCTGGCTCCCCACCTCTGGTGTAAATGCTCTGTGCTGGAAAGAGGGCAGGTGGTCTACTCTTTTCCCTCAGTGCAACGCCACCAAGCTCCATGCCTCCCACCAGATCAAGCTTTGGCCCTGCAGGACTCAAAAATGCTGCAGACTGGTCTCCAGTCCTGGCAGTGTAACCAAACAGGCTGTGCCCGCCTCAGGCTACGGGCTAAAGGCACCCGCAGCCAAAGCAGCACCGAGCCCTTTCCCTTCTGGCGGATCCAGAGCAAACCTGTATCGCCAGCAGGAAACAGCACGGAAAGGTTGCCCGCGGCGGCTCCATTGTTCTCGCAACGCTTGTTCCTTGACTTTGCAACATGATCGAGGGAGAGAGGAGTCACTGGTCGCCCCCCCCCCACCGCCAAAGCTGCAATCGAGAGCGCAAATCTCCCGCTCTCTGGTGGCCGCTCCTTCGCCTTTATTCTGATCCCTGCACGCAGTGGCTGAGTGCCCAAAGATTTGCTGTGCCCTGCTTCCCGCAACCTGCCTGGGCACAAGATGCCAGATGTAGGGAGGTCATTGCAGCCTGGGCTCTGGCACGCAACCAAGCTGCCAACGGCATCCTCGTAAAAAGGGGGGGGGGACTCAGGTGGAACTACGGCCGGCTGATCTGGGGAACAACGAAAGGCCTGTTTTTGTTGGCCTTCCCTGCAAGGAATTCCAAAGGGATGAAGGAGCCTGGTACTGGTGGGTGCCACCCCCGGGATTTCTGAGAAGTGACGAGGGCGCATTTCGCAGCAGGCACTCTCAAGTCCACATGCACGTCTGTGGCTCAGAATATTTAACCCCTTTGAAAATTGTCTACCTTATAGGTAGTGGAAACAAAGGAAGTTGGCTTAAAATGAGCCGGGTCATCGGTCCATCTAGCTCAGAAGCACTTCAGAATCTGAAGCAGGGGATTTTCTCAGTCCCAGACTTTCCTGGAGATGTTGGGGATTGAGCCCGGAATTGTTCGCATGCAAAACACATGCCCCGCCACTGAGCCGTAGGCCTTTCCCTGAACTGCCGGTGGTTTCCCTGGAATACATTTCCCACGTCTGTTTTCCTGTCCCATGCCTTTGGCAGAGTCTCGGCAGGTTTTCCTGGCATGTAGGTGCCAGGGGCCAGCAGCCCCATAAAAACGGAGTGTGTGTCGGGAGACAACGCAATCTTTATTGACGGTTATTTCTCCAGCGCATTCCTGCGCCAGCTTTCTTCTGCTTGGAGGTTACGGGTGATTGAGTGGCGTACAAATCCTGTTAAATTGAAAAACACAACCTCTCTCTTTCTCCCTGTTCCCAGCTGAGTCACCAAGGCAGCCCGTTTAGCGACTCCAGCTTCGACGCCCGGAGGCTGCGCTACGAAGGGGTGCCAACGGCCGCCATCCCGTTCCTGGAATGGCGGACTCTCAGCCACGTCAAGCGTGTGGAGAAGAATTACGAGGCCTACACAGCCTTCGCGGAGTTCCTGCAGCTGGTGCGGGACGACCAGTTTGAGCTCAACCCCACCAAAGTGGAACTTCTGGATATGCTGAAGGTGACTCGCTTGCGCATCCAAGGCCTCCTCAGCAACTTGACGGCCATCATGTCTGCCTTGGGAGCGCCGCCCGCCGCCGTCACAGACCCCCTCATGCTGGAGTCCGTGGAAGCTGACACTTTCGAAAAGAAAGTCCGGGGCTACGTGGTGTGCCACACGTACAAAGAGTGGATTGACAGGACGGTGAAAGACTTCTCTCTCCTTGCGGAGAAATTCCCAGCCTAAGGATCGCTCAAGGAGTAACTCCCAGGTTAAAGGGTTCCTCTGTCCTCCTTGCCGCAGATTTCTTAGGGAAGCAGGCGTAGGGAGAAGACAGACGCAACACCCACAGGCTGGTGGAGAAAGTCTGGAAGTGCCCTTGTTGCGTCCAGTCCAAACATTATCTATTTATCTCCAGAGCTGAGCTCTGGAAAAAGCAACGACTCACTCGTCAGGTTTTCAGTAGAAGCCTGTGGTGCTGATTGGGCGCCTCCCCTGGCTGTGCATGGTGCTCATTGGCTGCTGCCCCCCTGTGATGTCACTGAGGGCCTCTCCAGATCATGCACTAAAAAAAACCTTTCCCATTTTAAATAATAATAATAATAAGGTAACAAATGATAAATGCATAAGAATGTTTATGCAGCATTTAAAAAGGTGTGTTTAAAAACACAGACAAGCTACCTGGAAGTGTCAGTGCGGAGGAAGGACAAGGCTGTTGGTTGAACATGATTGGCTGGCAGACTTGCCTGTCACTTCAGTTCTAAGGCCTTGGTCACCCCAAGTTCTTTAAGTCTGTCTTCACCCTATGAGGTCAACTTGTGCGCTTGTGCTCAGCGAGACCTCTTGCGTTTACGCTTCCGGGTTTTGCACTTTGTCCTCCTGCTGGGGGTGGTCTATTATTTTCAGTGGCAAACAGGCATACACTTAAACTGAGATTAATACGATTTCAATTCTGGCTGCATATCACAACTACTGTTACAGTGTGGGGTGTGGTATGGTGTGTGAGAGAGAACTAGATCTGTCTACTGATCTGTCCATCCATCCCAGCCTTTTCCAATTTACTGCTGTTCAGGTGTTTTGGACTGCAATTCCCATCAGCTCTAAGCAGCTTGACAGTCTTTGCAGGGGTTGATGGGAGTTGTAGTCCAAAACATTTGGAGTAGGCCACATTGGCAATTCTGATCTACATACAAGCACATGTGTGTGCACACACACACATGCATATTTATGAAATGATTGTTATTTATGTCCCAGCGAAGTTTGCATGGGTTATTTATGTACTATTTAACGAGGGGCAATGGGATCTAATTTATTCTATTTTTTTCTGATGTCCAACAATGCTCTAGAGAGATGCAATAATGCTTAAGAAGAGCTGAGAGGGAGAGAGAGAAATTCCACAGAGGTGGTGGCCATCTAGAAAAGGATGGAAAATTACAAAATAGTCTGTAAAACGAGGACACTAATAATGTATGTCAATACTCTGGTGCTTGCAACCCCAACACATGGCTGTCTGGGACATGTCAGTGTTTCATATCCATACTTGACACTTTCCAGTGTATGTAATTTACATATTCATCAGCACTTCCTCAAGGAGGCAGGGGCATCACACATAGACATTTGTCACCTGACAGGACCGGCCCAAAACATTTCATTGCCTGAAGCGACAACCGTTGGATCTTATGTCAACAGTGTCAACAGAACAGCGTTCTCCCTTGCATCTTAGGGCAGAAGGCTAGTTTGTGGGATGTGAGGCAGGCTGCAGGGCACATGCCGTTCTGTCCCCACAACACCTTGTTGCTGCTCCATGCCCTCCAGCATTTACTACCTGAGGCGGTTGTCTCACACTACCTGATGGTCCCTTGAGCACTCAGTGGTTATGGATGATGGGAGATGTGGTCCAAAATATCTAGAGGACACCAGGCTGGGGGTGATGGCCAATTCCCTTGATGAATTTGTGAACTTTGCAGTGCCTTTCAGGCGATGTGAGGAGATAATGGGAGTTCTATCTGAGGTAGCTGTTCACACGTGCACATTACTGCTTGGTTTGATGTCATCCTGGTTAACCACATCTGAAGAGCCCATCAGACCTGGTGGTAGTGAGGAAAAGAGTTATGGGACTGCTGTTATTTGCTCTGTGCCTTAGATATTTGTAACAGCAGTGAGGTATGGCCATTTCTGGGGTGGTTGGGTATGTAGGGAGTAAACTCCTGAGGATATGCAGCCATCTTGGGTAAAACCAAGTGGCTTTAAAATAAAGTCTTTTATATTCTTCATAATTTTTCTCACCTCTCAATGATATAAATTGTTTTTTTAAAAATGATTTTATTTTGTATATTTTTAAATACTTAAAAAAAGAATGTTGAAAATAGTATATTTTTGGTACCTCAACGATCATCCATTTTCCTTGCAGGATTTCTTTGGATGTATCCTTGCCTTTTGTACATACATGGGACTTTATTTTGTCTAATAAAATCCATGACATTGGAGGATTTTCTCTCTCTTTTTGTCTGTGAAGGTGTGGGTGTTTGGGCAACGGCAGTCTATTTTGGAGGGACACGGGTGGCGCTGTGGGTAAAAGCCTCAGCTCCTAGGGCTTGCCGATCGAAAGGTCGGCGGTTCGAATCCCCGCGGCGGGGTGCGCTCCCGCTGCTCGGTCCCAGCACCTGCCAACCTAGCAGTTCGAAAGCACCCCCGGGTGCAAGTAGATAAATAGGGACCGCTTACTAGCGAGAAGGTAAACGGCGTTCTGTGTGCTGCGCTGGCTCGCCAGATGCAGCTTGTCACACTGGCCACGTGACCCGGAAGTGTCTCCGGACAGCGCTGGCCCCCGGCCTCTAGAGTGAGATGGGCGCACAACCCTAGAGTCTGTCAAGACTGGCCCGTATGGGCAGGGGTACCTTTACCTTTACTAGTTTATTTTGGCAGAACTAGGTTGAAGAAGAGCTCAAATTAACATCCAAAATCAAGAGTAAAAATGGTAACACTCCTCCCTGATGTATTTGCCCTGTGATCCTTATACACTGCCTGATTGAGAGACTTTCCAAAGACAAAATGTGAGCTGTACTATGCTTCTTGCAAAAGACTGGTGCAGGTATGCAATCCCTAACAAAAGGAGCCTCTAGTCAATTGCTAGTTTGCTGGCGGGATTCAACCACATACCAGAAATTTAGGTTTCATTAACTAACGTATGTCACCGTAGCGTGACAAACTTACTTAAAAAAACCACAAACTTTTTGCAGTTAGGAAAGTGACGAGGAAATGCACTGAAAAGTGAGGAGCATACAAATGGTTAACAAGAAAACGTCTTAGCAAATCAGCACGAAGGTTTTCACTGTTGTATAACATCCTTGCAAACAAATCAGAATGAGCGCTCAGTAACGCCTGGGGATATTCTAACTTCTGTCTAAGCTTTGCGTAAACAAAGCAAATGGAACGGCTCAGTGAACAGGTCATTTGGAGAAGCCCCAAAATTGTGTTTGAGGAAACAGGAGACTTGCTTTCCAGACTTGCAAAATCCCTGTGCAGGTGTTACCAACACAGGAGCAAGAAGCGGAGCTGGCCCACGTAACCCTGCACCTAAATATCTAGCCCTTCCGTCTGGTTCCTGTCTTGACGTCTGCACGGAGGGAGGGACAGTCGTAGCGTCTGAGTTAGGCCAAAACGGTAATAAACAATAGCTTAATGCGGAGCTGGGGAATCTGCGGCCCTCAGACATTGCCAGACTACAACTCCCATGCTGCCTGGGGCTAATTGGGTGGGAGCACTTCCGCCAGAAAAGTATATACCGTATTGTTCGCTCTATAAGACGCACCAGACCACAAGACGCACCTAGTTTTTGGAGGAGGAAAACAAGAAAAAATAATATTCTGAATCTCAGAAGCCAGAACAGCAAGAGGGATCACTGCGCAGTGAAAGCAGCAATCGCTCTTGCTGTTCTGGCTTCTGGGATAGCTGCGCAGCAGCCTGCATTCACTCCATAAGATGCACACACATTTCCCCTTACTTTTTAGGAGGGAAAAAGTGAGTCTTATAGAGCAAAAAATCCGGTAGTTAAAAAGAAGTGCATCCTCAGATGTGGGTCCTGGGTGTGAAAAACAAGGCATGAAATGTCCACAGTTAGTGGCGTAACCCTGGAGTTCCAAGCCGTCATGCTGCACGTATCTTTTGCAGGATAGATGTGTCCGTTGTCCTGCGTCACTTCTGAGGAAACGAAAGTGACAGGACCGGGCGCTTCCTGCCTTTGAAGCAGCTCCCTGGCACTAAAGGAGGAGGAGGAGAAAGTGTGACCTTTGTTTGCTGCCTCTTGAAGGCGTGTGGGGAAGCATGTCAGCCTCTGAGTCCAAGGTTATCTGCTCAGAGACCTGAGTGTCACTCTCCCTCAAAAAACGATTCACACCCTTTCCAACGAATTACAGAGAAAAGAAAGCAATGGACGGGAGCCAGGAATTCTGGGTGTTGTCGCTGGGAATGTGCAGAGATTGAAACTGGCTGTTGTGTAGGCTCTCTAAGCCCACGGTGGTGTTCAGTTTCTTCCTTTGTCTCCCCTGCTTTCTTTATAATTTCTAATTCCATCCTTCCTTTACCCCCCTACCCACCAAACGCTACCCCCATCAAGACACGGCCACGGCTGCCCCCTGTTGGATGAGCGCGGGTGCATTTTATCCCTGTTTGCTTCAACCCCAAAGGAAGCAAAAAGAGGCCGAAAGAAAGACCCCACTGCCGCAGACAAGCCTCCTGCTATGCTTTGAATGATGGATCGAAATTCAACAGGTGCAGCTCCCCCCTGCCTCTTCATGCTGTGGGATTAAAAAAAAGAAAGCCAGTTGTATTATTGGCACCTTTCATCCAGCCGCCAGAGAAAAGATGGCAACCGCTGGTTTTTGTGAGAGGGAAGGGCTCTATAAAAAGGTTAAAAAAGGCTTCTGAGCATGGATGTGCACCCCGGGTCCAGATCCATGTTTGAGGAGTCGTGAGACAGGAAGCTCTCTAGGCATCCTTTGAATTTCTCATAATTCCTCAGAGCAGGGTGTGCCAACCTCTTTTGAGCCAAGGGGTACATGTGGAATTTTTGAGAAAGTGGTGTGGGCGCCAGTCACAAAATGGCTGCCATGGGAGTACAGTGGTACCTTGTGTTAAGAACTTAATTTGTTCTGGAGGTCCGTTCTTAACCTGAGGTACCACTTTAGTTAATGGGGCTTCCCGCTGCCGCCGCACAATTTCTGTTCTCATCCTGAAGCAAAGTTCTTAACCCAAGGTACTATTTCTGGGTTAGCAGAGTCATCTGTAACCTGAAGCATCTGTAACCCGAGGTACCACTGTATGACATAATGACCAACATTAAAAAAAACACAGAGAGAGAAAAAGAGGCAGGCCCTCAAAATGGTGTGGAGATTCCCGCTCCCCAAGACATTTTCCAGGCACCACAAGAGGTGGTTGCAGTCATGGGCGCCCATGGGCACAATGTTGGTGACCGGTGCCTCACTTGGTGCTAATCCAGGCCGACCCAGCCCACAAGGCCTACTGAATGGAGCAAAATGGATGGCAGTCATGGAGCTGTTTGGCTCTCTGGAATCTGCTTGTAAGGATTGCTGTGACAGGAGGGATAAGTCGGCATGAGACTTTGGCTCCTGGAGAGATAAGGGAAACACTGTGCTTGATAAGAAGCCATGAGGAATAGTGTCAGGAATCACAATAGCAGGAGAAGCCGCAATATGTTTGCTTCTGTTTTGAGAAGCGGCAGATACGATGATGAAACATGTTTATATGCCTGGTATGACTAACAGCATGCTGTGAGGATGTCATTATTTATCCTGGGAAATTCTGATCATGCACAGAGGGTGAAGAAGCCGTAGCTATCTTGTGGGTGGGATTCAATTGCATACTGGCAAATTTAGGTTGCACAATTAAAGCGGATGTGGTGCACGTGTAACAAACAAACTTCCAAAGCATACACACACTCCATACCTTTTGTGGCAAGTAAAGTGAGGGGGAAATACACAGGAAAGTGTGGGATCACAACGGCTTGATGCAACATTGTATAGCCTTCCTTGCAAACAAATCAGAATGAAATAATAAATAGCAGCTGTCACCTCCTCACATAATTTGCGCAGACAATTCAGGGTGAATGCTCAAGACCCTTGTCCTCTCTCAGATCATTATAAAGAATGATACATCTAGACTTTTATCAACTTTTTCCCGCTTTGATACCCATGAGACTCAAAGGGTGTACAATCTTCATCCCTGTGTAGAAAAATAGTTGTACATGCATGAGTACTTTTCACTTGTAATGTTTGATGCGTGCAGTATCTGTGTACGTGATAATTGAGCTGTGCAAATAAAAAAGTGTACAGTCTTTCACCAAACGCTTGAACAGGTGCAAGCTTGCACCTGTTTCCAGTGTAATGTGTGAACATTCTCAGCTTCAATGGACTCCCTGCTATTCCTCCATCTGCTTTCCCCCTTTTCTTTATTTCTTTGGCCACAATCCCACCATACATTTGAAGCACTATGATACTGTCATGAACTGGCGGGATGACAGGGAAGAGGAAGAGGATCCCGGCAAGGGTGTAGCCGGGGATGGGACACCCTGGAGCAAGCCGGGGATGGGGAAGGAGAGGTTGGTGTAGGAAGTGCTCACAGGGTGATGGCGAATGATGAGGGGATGGGGGTCAGGGCACAGGAACCAGAGCAGCAGGACTCATCACCAGAGGCAAACAAACATGGTGGGCGCAAAATAATAATAATAATAATAATAATAATAATAATAATAATAATAATAATAATAATAATAATAATAAATTATTATTCACACCTAATGACCCACCTAAGTGGTACTCAGAATATCACTCAAGAAATCACTCAAGATATCCCTCAAGTAATTAAGGAACAAAAGAAGAAAAGGCACACTAACCTGGGAACTTCCTCTCTGCCCAGAACATTGGAGGCTACACACCACACCCCCTCAACAGTATTTATAGGAACTCAAACACTGAGATCCTGCTCTGTTCCAGTAACAAGAAGCCGAAAGCACCAGCCTGAAGATGACGAGTGAGACCTCGTCGAAACGTCGCCTAGACACCCCAACTTTTACACGGGAAGACACCCGAGGACACCAAAACCTGCATATATATATATATATATATATATATATATATATATATATATATATATATATAAACATGGCGGGCTCTGAGACGTAGGGAGAAGTGGGCAGGGTGCTCCAGGAAGCTGAGGCAGGCAAGGGCCCACAGCCCAGCTCCCTAGCTGGCCAGGTGAGGCTCTGGGAGGAGGTGTGAGAGTCCTTGGCTGGAGTAGGCTTGGACAGGTGAGGTTCACCTGCCTCATCGAGCCCAGATGCTGCAATCCATCAGCATGCGAAGTATAAAAGGGCAGCAGAGCTGAGGTGCTGTGTCTCCTTAGCTCTCCATGTTGATGGTCCTTC